GCCCGGAACCCTTGCGTGGCTCCGCGTGCAGCCGGGCGCGCTCGTTTCCTTCCTCCCTGGCGTCCGCTGCCAGGAAGCTGTGGCTTTCTGTTCCCCTCTGCCCAGACCTCGGGGGCCCGAGAACGAGTCCGCCCCTCTCCCTCCACTACCCAACTATCAGGCCAGCCCGGCGAAAATAGGTCATCTTTCTTCCCACGCGCCCCTGGCCGTGGTCCACACGCGCGGTGCTCCAGTAGGGAGGAGAATCGAGCGCTCCAGAGTTTGCCATTCCGGCTTTAAAACTCCTCCTCCTCCTGGTGGCTGCAGCCTGGCCAGGCAACTCTGCGATCCGCCGTACTCACGGGGAAGAGGCCCATTAGCGACGTGCGCCACTTGCTGCGGGGCCTCGGGCCAGAGCTGCTGGAGTACCCGGGAGCGCCCGCGCTTGCAGTCCCTCAGAGCGCATTATTTTTTTCTAAATGACAGAGGCGATGGTTCAGAAGCGAAAATACTTTCTAAGTGTGTTGGCAGAACAATTTTGCTATTCAGAACCTGACATGAGTTTACTTAATCGTTTAGTGATGGCGATGCTGAATGGGGTGGTGGTTGTCAAAACTAAGAACTGAATGCTGAGAAATGGGAATTTTATGTTATGTAAAGGACACCTCTTCTCTCTCACTTTCGCCTCAAAACTTAGCCGAATGTATTTCAAGCTGAAGTAAAGTGTTTAACAGGACTAAGTTACCACTTTAATTTCAGGGGTGAATGATATTTTGGTGAAATTCTAACAATTTGGAAATGGATTTTTCTCTGGCTTAAGAAAGTTTATAAAGTCAAGTAGTCCCACAGCTACAGAAAAACCTTTTTGTTGTACCCGTCTGTCCGCCCCCTTACCCTCAGTGTGTTTAAGACTGTGGGTATCTGGAGTGGAGCTCTGGTCTGCGTGGAGTGAGATGGTCGCTGCCGCGGGTCCCTCCGCCGGCAGGCCAGCATCCTAGGGCTGCTTTCCTGGAATGGGAACGATGCTGAACTTGGAGGTTTTACCCGCATGTGGTGTAGGAACGGGAGATTCTGTTCGTTTTCTATCCCGTCAGAGCACAGTGAGTTTGCCACTGAGAAAGTAATGCTGTTGAGCTACTCTCCATGTCATGGTCATTTAGGCCACATTTTCATAAACTTTTGCTTTAGAAACCACTGGACACTGAGGAACACGTGAAAGTGCTGTTCTTAAGTGTTTTCTTGTTCTAAAGTTCAACCCCTGGAAATATTTTTCTTTTAAGTACGAAAGTCTTCTAAAAACTCTTGTATTCTCATACCTAGAAGAGTATGATGGAAAGCTAGGAAACATGACAATGTCAAGTCATACAGTTATATGTAAAAGATGAGCAAGGCAATGATCCTGAGAATCTTCAGAAGATTTTTGAATCTAGCAGTTAATTGGAAAGATTCTCACCCTGACTAACTATATATACTGATACCTGTGAACTAAGCTACTGCACTGCAGATGGTAATTTGTAACAGTAGTTTCATGTTTGGAGTGCCTGTCATTCTGGTAGTCTGAATATGGGCAGCTTGTCATGACATGCCACTTACTGCTATGATGTCTCTCGGGTAGGTGGTTGTTCAAGAAGAAGGGGGTGGTGAATGAAAGCAAGAGACAGGAAAAGGAATATTGTGGGACTGTCCTGCTTCAAGGTTGTATATGATGAGATTTTTGGACTTATGTGCAAACATGAGAAGTATATAATTCTTTATCCTATTTTTAAAATATAATGTAATTTTAAAAATGTTTTTATCATATTATTCAGGGACTTAAAGTTCAACATATCACTACTTGATGAAAAATACCTGCTCCTTATGATGCCTAGGATGTTTGAAATGCAGTGAGATAGTGAGGTTAAGCTTAAGAGCCTAAATCGTTTGATAATAACAAGCTTGTCTTCTGGATGGTTAACAACGTAAGTTTGCAGACCAAAATTAGAGAAAAAGGAGGGCTACAAGGAATGCCAACATTTTGGCCCTAACCTTCTAAGGTCAATTAAGACTCAGGACATATGAGAACTTGTACTGTAACGTCATGTACCTCGGTAGTGTCCCAAATTTTCTGATCAAGAAGATTATGAGGCCAAAGAGGAAAGTGATCGATGACGTAGAGTGTGCCTAAGGAGAGTCACATGGGGAGAAGACACTCTCTCAGTCTTTCACAGAGAGCACATTGGCCAAGCAATGGCCGTGACTCATCCACATAGCTGCACTGACAAAGGTTCTACAATCTGAGGTACAGGATCTCAGGATAAATCCTGAGGACATTTCACTGACCTTCTCAGACCAAAAAGCTACAACTCTTGTTGCATAGGTCCTGCTTTACCTTGCTCTTAACCATCCAGTAGAAAAGTGTGAAGACGAAATATAGGAAATAAAGCCATGCTGTTATGTTGAGCAGTGGGGGACTCAGGTCAATAATTTCTGACATTGCCAGTTAAACAGAGGACCCAATGCTATTATGGGCTACTGGACTCTTTTAGAATATTTTGCTGAGTTTACACACCTATAATATTCAGTAACGGAACTTAGAAAAAATTGGGTATACCGATGAATGTCCATTTTGTATTTGTGTATTCCAAGTGGTTAGGATAGATATATAGTTGCATTCTCTTAATGAATAGAATGATTTGTTCTAATGGTGTTTGTAAATAGCTTCACAAGTCCACTTCGTGTACAGCAATTAACCAGTAAGAAGAATATATGCAGTGTCTTATTTGTTGAAACTGTACTTCTGATTGGATTTGAAACTGTCTCATTGCTATCTGTTTATCAATAAAACTTTGAAAAAACAAACAAACAAACAAAAAGAGTATGATGGAGATGACAGCGCTAGGGACAGTGTCAGCACCAGCACATTAGAGCCTTGGTTGAGGTAAAACTTTAGTAGATAAGGTGGAATTCACGGGCAGCAGGTGTGCTTCTGGTGGACGCCCTCCAGCACATGCTGAAACCTGCCTGTGCTCGTGGCCCTTACAGAAAGTGGTGACAGTTGGGTGCAGCCCGTGCACCTCATCCCGCCAGTAAGTCCTCTGTGACTATGTGTAGGATCTAATACAGTGTCAGGACCTGCCATGTACTGCATGTCTTTAGAGAACAATAATGTTTTAAACAACCGAAAATACACACGTTCAGTATAGGTGAAATTTCCAAACATTTCGATCCACCGTTTGCACCTGGAACCCAAGGTTAAAGGTTGTGAGGGAGAGGAGGCTGACTGCACATAGTTTGTGCGGACGCTACCTCCAAGTCAAGGTTCCTCTGCATGCTTTTTGGCTCAGAGTCAATTTAGTGTGAGGCTTTGCCCTTTATCAGTGTTCCAATTATGTAGTATTGTTTTTACTTTCATGTGTAACTAGGGAGACTGTCTTACTGTGTCTCTCTCTCTCTCTCTCTCTCTCTCTCTCTCTCTCTCGAGGCTCTTCATCAGCTAGAAACAGGTTGCCTGCTCCAGGCTACTGTGTGTCCGCTTTTGTCCAGGGTGGAGGAAGTGTCTAGTGAGTGAGCCTCCTCTCCGTGGGCCAGAGGCCTGGGATTGGAGCCGTGCTTGTGTTGCTCCGAAGATGACTAGGTGGTGCTTAGGACTGTGGCATTAAGTATTTTTTAACACAAGTGAAATACCTTTTTTTAAAAATGTTACTCGAGTTGCCTGTAGCCAGTCACCTGCTTTCTCAGTTGGTTTAGTCTTTTAGTAGCGAAGAGTGTTTTCTCTGGCCACAGTCACAGAAGTGTCAGTTCTTGGATGTCGGCTCATTCTGACTAGGACCGATAGATGAAGGGCTCCTTGCTTTTAAAATGTTCTGTGGCTTTCATTTTTGTATTTGTACTTATATACTTAGCAAAATGGATTTCTTTTTGT